CAAAGCCATTCTCAGAGCATTTCCTGCGCCTGCACAGGGATCACTCTCTTACTTTTGGGGGGATTTAAATATCCCTGCATATTTTCCCCAAGTTTTCAGATTTTTCTGCACATATGGGGATTGCCCCAAATGTGCAGGGAAACCTCCCTGCCCCCCAAGTGCCCCCGATGTGCTGATTTAGATATCCGCAAGGAGGGGGCATGTTGGGAATTAGATATATAGATATGGAGCAGAAGTCCATCAGTGACTATTAGCCACAAGGTATAGATAGGAACTCTGGGGCAAGTGATGAACTGTATTCTTGGTGCTTGGGAAGGGGCAACAGTGGGAGGGCTTCTAGTGTCCTGGCCCCACTGCTGGACCACCTAATGGCACCTGGTATTTTTGGCCACTGTGTGACACAGAGTGCTGGACTGGATGGGCCATTGGCCTGATCCAACATTGGCTTCTCTTATGTTCTTATCCTTCCCCTCCATTGCCAAGCCCAGCATGGCTCCAGGCAGCCACAGCTCCCTCCAAATTTTATGTTTTATTTTGGGAGGTATTTAAATCCCCCCCCCGTGTGTGTGTGTGTGTGTGTGTGTGTGTAAAGTTCATATGTATATACATATATATATTAAATTTTCAGATTTTTCTGCAAACCTGGGGACTTTCCCAAGTTTGTAGAACCGTTTTCTGTTAATATGGGCCCGATCTGCAGATTTAGGTATCCGGAGATTAGCCCGCACTTGACTATTAGCATATCAGATATGTTTTACCGTGAGATGACCGGGACTCTGATTTGTTTACAAAGCAAGCTATTTAGCAGTGGCCGAGGCAAACTCAATTTATTTATTTATTTATTTCGATTTGTATCCCGCCCTTCCTGCCAGAGCAGGCTCAGGGCGGCTCACGTTAAAAGATACAACAAAATGCAAATTCCTTACATACACACACCTCATAAAACTCATACGCAATTCACAAATAAGTGCAGTTAAAAGTGCTAGTGGCGGTAACTCTTGGCCCTGATGTTGCAAATGTGGCAGGAAGTATGGCCAAAGGATGTCAGTGTTGACATCGCAGGCAGATGTCAACAGTGCCTGCATAAGTGATTGCACAGTGTGGCCATTCTTAGTTCTGAAATATTCCAGTTTTTCTCTATAGTCAGTGGTGGCAGCATCCATCTTCCTCCCAAAGGCTTGAGCCATTTCCCGTGTGTAGTTTACCTTGAACCGTGAGGAGGAGGAGGAGAAACCTAAGTAACGGGAAGAAAACTATAAGTAACCATTTTGACTTAGGTGGGGTTCTGTTTTAGTCCTTCTTACCCTAAAATTACTGTATTCAACCTAGCAACCTAGCCTGCAGCAGCCTCTTCTCTGTAGGGTGTCTTGCATCTGCAGGGACTGCTTTTATGTTGAGGAAACAGGTCGAGTCATTTTTGTTGTGCTTTAAGCCTTTGACATCTGATCCGTGTGATCTTTGCTGTTAGTTCATTATCTTAGAACATGATTTGTTTTAAACGGGTGTGGTATCAACATTTTTGTGCGTGCGTGAGCTGCCTCGGCCTTCCTTTCTGTGGAAAGGAGGGTTCTGTAGGCCCGAAGCCTGTGTTGCTTCTGCTCTGCTGAAGATATTTCACCACAATAAAAATACCCCAAACATTGTGTGGCGTTTTCAACAGATGTTTCGATGCTTGTGTTTCTTATTTCAAACTTACCCTGGAGGGTGGGGTGCAATGTTCCCTCTAAGCTTTGGAGTCTTGTGAGCAAAAATTATACTTTGTGAGCGAATGGCATTAAAGTTGTGAGCGAGAGATTCGACTGCTGCAGAAATTAGTTTCCTCTGGAGCCATCCTTCCTGAGCTAAGACAAAAATGTGTGAGCCGGAGGCTAAAAAACTGTGAGCTAGCTCACACTAACTCAGCTTAGAGGGAACATTGGTGGGGTGTCACACTAGCTATGACAGAGGGAGGAAGATCCCTGTGTATTTATTCAGAAATCTGCCCATTCACATGTAAAATGGAGGACAGATATTGACCAAAAAAAACCCCACATGGAACTCATGGGAACATTCTGCTGTTTTAAACACTTTTTCTCCCATCCTGGCTCTTCTGCAAGACATGAGCCTGGCTGGACAGGAAGCAGTGAAGAACAGCAAGGGCAAAGAGGGAGAAGCAGTGTGTAGGTATTAAAAAGTTAAGGTAAAGGTTCCCTTGCTCGAAAGCCAGTCGAGTCCGACTCTAGGGTTGCGGTGCTCACCTCCGTTTCAAAGCCGAAGAGCCAGCGCTGTCCGAAGACGTTTCCGTGGTCATGTGGGCGGCATGACTAAACACCAAGGCGCACGGAATGCTGTTACCTTCCCAACGAAGTGGTACCTATTTATCTACTTGCAATGTCTTGCTTTCGAACTGCTAGGTTGGCAGGAGTGTAGGTATTACGTCCCGTCATAAACCCAACCCGTCCCTCACTTCACATGTTAGTGGGTGTCGTGTTTGGTTCGGCCCTTAGCGTTCAGTTCAGTTTGTCCCTTTCAAATCACAGGTTGTCACAAAATGCTGCTTGCTGCAGGTGGAGCCAGAATGCACCTTTCCCAGTAACTCGTTTTTGAGCATCACACAGAGCCATACAGCCAGTGTGAGACAGACCCAGCAGCACAATATGTACGTTCTGTCGGGTTTGTCATATAAAGGACTCAAAGTAAATTTCATTCTCCTTCTCTCTCCCCCCCCCCCCCCCCCCAGCAACATTCTTATTCTTATTGGAATTAGGCAATAACAGTGTAGACCGTCATGGGTTTCATTCTCTACTGCATTTTAATTTAGTATACGCAACTGTTCATATGGTGGGTTTTTTGGAGGGGGGACATCTGCCTTTCAAATATGCCGGCAGCGCTGTCTGAAAATGTGGCAGAGTAAATGGGCAGGGTGTAAACTCTTGCCGAGTACCTTTAGTACGTGGACCAAGGGGAGAAACCGGCACGTTGAACCGTTTCTATATCCAGGTAGAATTTCACCTTGTGTTTAATGCTTAAACAGATATAGCATAAGAAATTATCTCTTTTCTTAAGTGGAGTTCCAAAAATATATTTTCCTTTTCTTTAAAATGGCGTATGTGGCCATGATACTTTAAAGGGGGAGTTGCTGTTATTCGAGCAGACTTGTTTATTCTTATTTAAACCTGCATTTCCCAGCATAAAACATCCTTATTTATTCTGCAAATTGTGTCTCTACATTATCTTACTCAAAATGTAGAGCCTTGGTCTTTGAGGAGGATTGACTTGCAGTCTGCTATTCTTTTTTTTTTTTTAAACGGGATTGCTGTTGCAGAAAGAAAAAGGAGCAAATGATAAAAAGGAGGACAAAAAGGTAGCAAAAGGGAAGAAGGGAGCCAAAGGAAAAGATGAAACTAAGCAAGAAGATGCTAAAGAAGAAAACCACTCTGAGAACGGAGATACCAAAACTAACGAGGTAGAGTATATGGCAGCTATGGGGGGTGGGAGAATGAGC